CACCGTTCCATCCCGAGCGGCGTCGCCTCCAGGACACTCCGGCCTGGACGACCGCCCCGGCCTCCGAGAGGGCGGCGGCGGCCGCCGTCGCTGCCCCGACAGCTCCTCTGCGCTGGCGGCTTTCGCGGGGCCCGCTTAGCGCCTCAGCCCCCAGCGCCCCCCTCACGGCCCGTTACCTGCCAGCACCTCCTCGATGTTCTCCGCCGCCCCCCGCGCGCTCGGAGCGAGGCTTGACAGCGCCAACAGCTGGCCCCGCCTCTCCCGCTCGCTGCGTCATCACGCACGCAGGCCAGCCCTAGAGTTAGAAAGGGAGAGACAGAGCGACCTCGCCTGATCTTGCAAAGCGGAGCCCGGGGAGGGCTCGGAAGGGAGACCACCAGGAAATCTTGGCACGGTAGGCTAGGCTGAGAAGTGAGAGAAGCCTCCCAGTGGTTGCACTGTGCTTGAGAGACCTTAAAGGGCATTGCCATGAAGGCCCTGGGAGCTGAGCGCAGCGTGAAGACTTTCACAATGGAAAGTCAGACCTGGTTAGATGGGGGATGGGGCAATCCCAATAAATTATAGTTGAGTTTAATGGGGTTACTTCCCCACTCAGTAGGTACAGAAGGGCAGCCAATCAGTGCTTACCATTTTCTGGATGTAAATCTTACTGAACTCCGTTGGATTTGAATCCTTGTAGACAAATCTGGGATGGCTTTATTTCATGTGAAAAGCTGCAATTTTGCTTTTGAAGTTTTAATGGTGGAAAAGTGAACACACGTTTAAAAACTAATAATAGTAATAACTTGTTAAATTTATATGCCACTCTACTTGCAGCGACTCTGGGAAATCCATGTTGCCTGAATTGAGGCTGGGAGTTTCTTCCAAATCTCAGAAATGCAGTCTTGACATTTCGTGTCTGTCCTCACCACTGCTATCCTTGCCAAAGATACAGGATGCCACCCTATGCTGGTCTGTTCAGATTAAGGAGTGATATGCTGAATTCAGTGGGACTTGTTTCCAATTGCAGGATAGCAGGCTTATATTGCAGAGCTGGTGGAGGAGGAGAGCCGTGTTAGTCTATGGTGGTAAAAATTTAGGAGGAGTCCAAGAGCACCTTTTTTGACTCACAAATTTTCTTAAAAGGGTTCCGTTTTTGTGAGCTGCAGCTCATTTCTATCCACCCAATGAAGTCAACTGCGTGCAGCTCATGAAAACATGTGCCTTTTAATAAAATGTGTGACTTGGAAAAAGTGCTACTAGACTCCTCCTGATTTATTGCTAAGGTGTGGTAAGCCATTCTAGTGCCCAGCCCAGCTCTCCCACGCTATGTGGGTGAGGGATTTTATTTACAAAAACCTGCATTGTCGGAATTATTTATAAATATTCCATAATGTAAGTAGTAAACATTACACAGACCCTGAAAATGCAAAAATATTCAGAAGAGTAGGCTTCTCCTTTTTGAGAGGCTTTTGCTTAGATTGAACAAAAACATTCTGGATTTATTTCTCCCTGGATTCCATAAGGAGCTTTCCCTTCTTTCCATTCCTCACCTCAGGGATTCTGAAAACAGATTGCAATGACAATTTGGGAAATGAATGAAGTTCACTCTAACGTGTTTTTTTTATCTCTACGGAGCAAACCTGCTTCCGACTGATCACGTGAAGGAAAATACACGCCCTTGCTCTTTCCAGCTTTGCTAAATTCCTCAGCTGTAGAGACGGAAGCAGTTTGGAAGAATGGATATTCCTCCAGTTTACAAAGGAAAACGCATTTCTGTCTACGTTGATCTACCCAGAGAGTCCTGCTGAGCATCGGTGCCTTATTCCCCTGAAAATATATTCCTCCCAGGTCTTACTCCGCTCCTTTGAGCAGCGCAAGGAGCATTTTATGATCCCAACAACCTCCCTGTGAGGTAGGTTAGGTGAAACGTTAGCAACCGGAAGACTCCCCAGTAGAGCATCGCCATGGAAAGAGGAGAGATTTTTGCGCATATTGTGTGTCTCTTAATTTTTCCTGCAAGGGCATCTGAGTAGGGGAATTGGGTGCTCTCTCATGAATCCAGGGGCTGACGGTGGGTGATGGGTACCTTCAAGGTTCTTAATTTTTAAAATGAACCTCAATTGCAGCTGCTGAACTGTGGCTCCCATGGACCCCAACCAACATAGCCAACAGCCAGGAACGTGGGCCCCTTGCTCATCAGTGTCTGATGGGCCATGGGTTCCCCAGCCTAAGATGTGGCCCCAGATCAGCTGGACTTCCAACTACCAGAATCCCCAGTCCTATGAATGGGAATTCTGGGATCAGGTTGGGAAAGGCTGCAATCGAGGACTACCACAGAGTGCACATGATTACAATGCAACAGGTGGACATACTTAACCTGTTAATGGAGTGAGCCTCAGTTCACACAGTACCTTTAACCAGGTCAGTTAGAAACCTAGGGACTGCACGCACCCATGCAGAACTTGCACAGTTCTAATCATGGTTAATTTTCGGTGGTTTGGTGTAATGGGGTGAACTCCTGCCCACTGGGCACTTTATGGCTTACTGTACTGTGCAAGCGCAGAAAGCAGGTTCAATTTAGCATCTTGATTCGTGCGTTGGGCGAATGCAGCCATTTCCTCGGTTCACGCCACACGCCGAATCTTAAACTAACCGCTGCGCTGCAGGGCGCTGGCTCCGCATTTGGCAGGGCAGGCGAGGCCCCAGAAGCTGCAAACTAACCAGACTCTGCCAAACTGAGTTCTCCAGCCTTCGGAGAAAAAGACTCCAGGAGCGCCGGCGCCTCCTCCGGCCGGTTCGCGGAGCTTGGCGCGTCACGCTTGAATCGCGGGGCGTCGCCTCCTCGCCTGCCTTCCCTTTGGTGGCTGCGATCGCAACTTTGGGCTGATACGGGACGTCCTTGCACAGCGAGGATGGCCGGTTTCAGGGTAGGGAACTCCCGTCCGCCTCCTTGGCAACGCTTGCCCGGCCTTGTTTGCTCCGGAGCAACACGCCAGGGTGAGCTGGTTCCACCCGGCGCAGGCTGAGCCGCTTCCGTCTTCGGCGGCGCTAGAGTTGCGCAAGAGCTAAGTTTGGCCGAACTTTGCTCAGCGTTTTGAGATAGGTGGGGCGCGGATTTATTTGATTTGATTTCCAGAAAAGGAAAGGACTGATGAAAATTTACAGTGTTCATATACTGTACTAATATATCAATGATGTAAATATGTGTATTACATGTATTTGCAGTTAAATTATTAACATTAAAATCACTATTCTTAAGAGAAGGAAAAAGATGCACATACAGTCAAAATTTCTGAATAAACTTCCAATTAGTCCTCCTGGTAATAATATGAGTGTTCAAATATAGAAAGAGGGAAATTCTTTAGGCACCTATATGGTGGAAGGAGAACAAATCTTCTTCTTCAGGGGCCTTTTTGGCAATACAGTAATCAACAATTGCATATGTCTTTCTGTTGTCCTCTTTTCAGGTATATAACTGATACATAATTCAAAAGAATCTGAGCTAATGAGTCTCCTAAATGTAAAATTGATAAGTGAAATCACTAATGTCCAAAGATGCACATCACATCAAAGAAACCAATGTTGCATTTTAAGCACTAACAGCTCATCCATTTCCTCTTGAAAAGGATATTTTGTTGAAACCATCACAAACAGATCTACAGAAGTCCTGATGTTCATATAGTAGACATCCTAATTCTACTAATATTTATTTATTTATTTAAATGTATTGGCCAGTGGACTCCATAAGTCCACAGCCTCCCTGTACTCTTGAACTTCACATTTAGAATATTTGAAAATTAAGTTACAAACTATCATTCTAAACTTACTTGGTTTTTTAAAAGTGTGTGTGTATGTGTGTTTTTATGTCTACATGACAGCTGTTTACTTATCATTTTCTAAATAAAGGTGTTTTCCAAAGCACTTGAAAGACCAGAGTGTTGTTTGCTGAACTGAAACAATGGAGACCGTTGAAATTGGACTCCACCTAGGAACTGGTAATTAATGATTTCCATATCATGCTAAATCACAGTGCGGTTTACTGGTTTTGACTTAGAGTAATGTGTGGTGTGTAAACCATGGTTTATAGCAGGAGTCTCAAACTCACAGCCCAGGTAGCCTCAAAGGAATTTTCGGTGGACACCAGATACCGTGTAGATACTCCGGAAGAGTAGTGCCTGAGGGCAGTGGCCTTGCAACTCTCTTCAGGCCAACCCAGTAGACCCAGGTCAGTGGAGCCATATGGCCAGTGCTCCAGAGCTTCTTCCTTTCAGCAGCACCCAGAATTTGGAAGACCCCACCTGCTCTTGCACTCCATGGCAGGAGCTGCATCCTAAACTGATGCTGAGCAATCCAGACAGGGGAGCATGGGGGGGAGAAGGACAAGTGGAGGTCTGGTCACCCACCATGATCTGAGGAGTGGGAAAACAGCAGGCAAGTATGAAAGATCTGCTAGATAAAGAAAGGACTCAGCTGATCAAAGAGAAGAGAAGGGGAAGCAAAGAGAAAAAGAGCCCCCTCCCCCCCATGAAAGGCCACTGGACTTAGCAGAGAGGAAAGGAGGATCTGAGCACCTCATCATGAAGGAGAGTTCCTAGAAGATGTCATCCTAGCTATGACCTGGGAAAAAAACATTACAGCTCCGAGCCAGTAATAAAACCAAGTATTGGAATTCTGGTTAATGAAAAACACTGCAGGCTAAGTGGCCAAAGTGAAATAGGCTTTGCTTCACAGTAGTGATTTTTTTTTAATTTAATGTACAGTGGTGCTTAAAAGTTTGTGAACTCTCTTGAATGTTCAGTATTTCTGCATAAACCAGACCTAAACTGTGATCGGTTCTCCTCAAAGTCTTAAAATTACATAAAACAACTGAGTGAAACTAATGAGTCAAAAGCATTATACTTGTTCATTGATTGATTGAGGAAAATGATCCAAAGTGGCATATTTGTGTGGCAACAGTATGTGAACCTTTGCTTTCAGTAACTGGTGTGCCCCCACTCCCCTGGGCAGCAATAACTGCAACTAAATGATTCCAGTAACTGTTGATCAGTCCTGGACATCTTCTTGGAGGAATTTGAGCCCGTTCTTCCTTACAGAACAGCTTCAACTCTGGGATGTTGGTGGGCTTCCTCACATGAACTGTCCACTTCAGGTCCTTCCACAACATTTCCATAGGCTTAATGGGGTCCTCCTGATGAGTGAAGTTTGAGGCTAGTGGCTAGTTTTATGCCACAGTACTGTTTTTTCCTTGTTTGGGGCTAGCATATTGACTGAACAAAAACCACGATAAAGGAAGCTGT